CCGACGTTGTACCGAACGTAGTGGAACTGTCCAGCAGCGCGAGCAGCCATTGCTCCTAGCGGCGGAACTTCCTCGCCTGGGCAAGCCGCCGCAGTCGCGAGGTCGAGTGTCCACGACCTCCTGTTGAGATGCTGGAGCGGGTGCAGGCTGCACCACGGGGGCCGTCAGCGAGCTCTTGAAGAAGTAGCCGCCGACGACGATGCCGTACGCGAAGGCGCTCACCGCCAGCACGACCACGAACTCAGTTGACCAGCCTGAGGGCTGAGCAGATGCCAGGGACCCCTCGCCCGTCGGGCAGCGGCACTCCAGCGCTGGGCAGTGCAGCGCAGGAGAGCAGACGCAATCTGGGCAGGGCGTCGAGCTGCCGCGAACGATGATGGCAGTGGTGAGGGCACTGGTGAGGTCGGCGCAGACCCGCTCAAATAATGCTTGCATTCCTTTAGAACTTGAGCGAGGGAATACGGCCGCGGTGTTGCCACAAATGCCGACAAGTCGCTGTATGATGACGAGCATGTGTTTCAAGAGAGTGCCGATGCCGATGATGATGACAACTATGCTGTTGAAGATGCTGTCGATGACGATGCTGATGACATGCGTCAGCTTCAAGATGTTGTCAATGATGATGCTGATGACGATGCTGGTGACAAGTATGGTGTTCAAGATTCTGTCGAACAGCTCTTCATCGGCTGCTCCTCGCCGAGAACGTTCCGGTTGGACCCGAATTGCCCCGAGGGGCAATTTGAGACCCAACCTAAGACCCGAAAGTGGTCCGAGAGTGGAGGATAAGGCGGAGGAGGGAGAGGGGGGGGGAGACGATGAGGACCAAGACAAAAGAGAAATCTGAGGAGAGGAATTCGGATAACGAGGAGGTGCAGGAGGGGCAAAAGGGCTGCTGTCGATGACGATGGTGATGACGTGGAGGAGGAGGAGGGGGAGGAGGGGGGAGACGAGAAGGACCAGGGGGAAAGGAGAATCTGGGGGGATGGGGTTGGAAGGGCGAAGAGGAGGAGCAGGAGGGAAGAGGGAGGACGGCGAGGAGGAGAAGGAAAAGCAGGGGGGCGACGCCAGCGGGGTTACCTCCTCGCTCAGGGGCTGGGCCCTGGGCCCTGGGGGGAAGGTTCCAGCAACAACAAAAAAAACGGTTCATAGATCCACTGGCCCCGCTTTTTTTCCAGGCCAGGAAAAAATCAGCCTGGCGAAGAACCCAACCATATGCAGTTGTCAGTACCGCAGCTGCGGGTTTCATCTTCAGTGGAACTCCCCATAGGACCACGGAACGTGTGAGGGGTGCGCCGAGATGGGTGCCACTGGGGCATTCGGTGAAGCTCCCTATGGGGACATGAAACACGCGCGGGGCGTGCCGACATGGGTGGCGGAAGCGCATGTGAGGGCCGCCGCTGGGGCCTCCAGTGGAGCTCCCTTTGGGTCCCCGAAACATGATGCTGCTGCGGGGGGGGTGCCGGGATGGGTGGCGGAGACGCATGTAAGCGCCGCTACTGGGGCCTTCGGTGGAGCTCCCTATGGGGCCACGAAGCGCGTGAGGGGTGTACTGGGATGTGTGGCGGGGACGCATGTGAGCGCCGCCACTGGGGCCTTCGGTGCAGCTCCTATGGGGCCACGAAACGTGTGAGGGGTGTGCCGAATTGGGTGCGGGTGGTGACGCATGCGGGCGGTGCCACTGGGGCCTTCGGTGGAGCTCCCTATGGGGCCACGAAACCTGTTGTTGTGAGGGGCGTGCCGGGATGGGTGGCGGGGACGCATGTGAGCGCGGCCGCTGGGGCCTTCGGTGGAGCTCCCTATGGGGCCACGGAACGTGTGAGGGGTGTGCCGAATTGGGTGGGTGTGGGTGACGCATGTGAGCGCCGCCACTGGGGCCTCCGGTGGATGATGGGGCCACGAAGCCTGTGACGGATGTGCCGAAATAGGTGTGCGGGACGCATGCGCATGTGAGCGCCGCCACTGTGGCCTTCGGTGGAGCTCCCTATGGGGCCACGAAACGTGTGAGGGGTGTGCCGAATTGGTGTGCGGGACGCATGCGGGCGGCAGCACTGGGGCCTTCGGCGGAGCTCCTATGGGGCCACGAAACGTGTGAGGGGTGTGCCGAATTGGGTGAGGGGGACGCATGCGGGCGGCAGCACTGGGACCTTCGGCGGAGCTCCTATGGGGCCACGAAACGTGTGAGGGGTGTGCCGAGTTGGGTTGCGTGACGCATGCGGGCGGCAGCACTGGGGCCTTCGGCGGAGCTCCCTATGGGGCCACGAAACGTGTGAGGGGTGTGCCGAATTGGGTGTGCGTGACGCACGGCAGCAGCACACGGCCTTCGGGCGGGGGCCTTCGGCGGAGCCTATGGGGCCACGAAACGTGTGAGGGGTGTGCCGAATTGGGTGTGGGTGACGCATGCGGGCGGCAGCACTGGGGCCTTCGGCGGAGCTCCTATGGGGCCACGAAACGTGTGAGGGGTGTGCCGAATTGGGTGTGGGTGACGCATGCGGGCGGCACACTGGGGCCTTCGGCGGAGCTCCTATGGGGCCACGAAACGTGTGAGGGGTGTGCCGAATTGGGTGCGGGTGACGCATGCGGGCGGCAGCACTGGGGCCTTCGGCGGGGCTCCTATGGGGCCACGAAACGTGTGAGGGGTGTGCCGAAGTGGGTGTGGGTGACGCATGTGGGCGGCAGCACTGGGGCCTTCGGCGGAGCTCCTATGGGGCCACGAAACGTGTGAGGGGTGTGCCGGATTGGGTGTGGGTGACGCATGCGGGCGGCAGCACTGGGGCCTTCGGCGGAGCTCCTATGGGGCCACGAAGCGTGTGAGGGGTTTGCCGAATTGGGTGTGGGTGACGCATGCGGGCGGCAGCACTGGGGCCTTCGGCGGAGCTCCTTGTGGAGCTACGAAACACTGTACTGGGTGGGTGAAGCGCAGGGAAGAGGGTGCGCAGGGGGAGGATGCGAGGAGAGGAGAGGAGGAGAGGAGAAGAGGACGCGGGGACCGCCTCTTCAAAACGAGGACCCAACACCACAGGATGGTTATGAAAAATGGGACCAGTGGACCCAGAGGGCCGTATTTTTTTGCTGGGATCCCCCCAGGGCCCCCCCCCCCCCCTCCCCCGCCACAAAGAAAGTCACGTTGTACGCCCTCGCACAAATGACATCTATGTGTAACCCCCCACAAAGAGAATATGTTTGTAGTTGCGCCACGAAAGGCATCGATGTGCAAGTCCCCACAAAAAGGAATATATATGTGACCACCACAATGGGAATCAGTTGGCAGCCTCGCACACAAAGGGAATATGCTTGTACTTCCGCCACACAGGGGATCATCTGAATCTACGCGTACTTCCGCCACAAAGGAAATTCATGTGAGCGTCCTCCACAGAGAGGAGGAAAGAGAGAGAGTGAGAGAGAGAGAGAAAGAGAGAGAGATATAGACAGAACGATGAGGTAAACAGAAAAGAAGAGAAGACGGGCGCCCCCGCCTACATCCTTCGGGACAACAACACCAGGGGCACCGATATGCCCGTGCACCCATATATCTCTATATATATACACCTATATATATACATATATATACATACATATATATATATATATATGTATATATGTATATATACACATATATATATGTATGTGTATATATATCCTCAGCCCCTAGAGCCAGGAGCGCAAAGCTCGAAGAGCACTCAATACTTGAGTCAACTCCGAGCTCTTTTTTCAATACTCTGTCTGCGCAACCGCTTGATGACCAGACTGGGCTGAGCCGGCACCCGAGCAATGACAATATCTCTCGGGGCGCCGACAAGCTGAGAAACCTCCCTGGGGAATCCTTCAAAACACGGCAAAAAGAGCAAAGACAGGCGAGCGGTGGGAACGGTGGTGGTGCACTTGAGCCGCGGGAGCGGCGGCCGAGTGGGCAGAGGAAAGGGGTTCAGAGAACAAGTGCGTCCTCAGCCCCTAGAGCCAGGAGCGCAAAGCTCGAAGAGCACTATATACTTGAGTCAACTTCGAGCTCTTTTTTCAATACTCTGTCTGCGCAACCGCTTGATGACCAGACTGGGCTGAGCAGGCACCCGAGCAATGACAATGTCTCTCGGGGTGCCGACAAGCTGAGAAAACCTCCCAGACCCGTACTGTGCTCTGGAGCCGCAAATCTATAAAAGGGATCATCCAAAACCAGCGGCTGTCGAAGGACGTGTGAGCTCAAGAGCGTTGACTGATCGCAAAAGCCAAGCGGCCCCAGCAATCCCCATCTGTTTGGGATACTGGGCCGCAGCAGTGGTCCAATTCACAGAACTTCCAGGAACTTTGCCTACCAGCACAAGGCGGGGCCGATTTGAAAAAGCAGCAGATCCCGCGCCCGTGACGCAACCGGTCGACGCGGGGCAGGCTCGGGGTCCACCACCCGACCAATCGACTCCGCTTTCGCCACCTGGCCCCGAACGAACACTGATCTACCACAAACTCGCGCGCCTGGGGAAGCGCTCTAAGCCTACACACCCCAGGCTCCTTCCAAGCCAAAGACGAGCGAGGATTCGCACAAATCATCGGGACACGAAACTGAACGCAGGCTCGAATGAGCCGGCGCGTGGAAGCCAGCGTGCGATTGCCCGCTTGAAGCCGTTTGGCCTGGGTGGGTGTGGGATCAGGTATACCAAGAGGGCACCAGGGCCGACGAATTTTGTAAAAGTGGCAATTAGACCAGGAGGAGCACGGGAACGCACACCATACCCCCTTTACAAGGCCTGCCGAGATCCAGCCTAAAACGTGACAAACGACTCTACGATCAGTCAGGTCAAACTCGGGGCCCTGCATACTGTCAGAAGCTATTCCTGATTCACCCTGCTGCTTTAAGGCACGCAACACTGGAGAGGAGCCCGAGAAGAGGTCAAGAAATATTTTGCCGTCGGGCGACAACCTCATAGCAGCACGCATCTGCTGCCGCAGGAGTCGCCGCGCGTCCTGAGCCGCCAGCCGATGCTGCGCGGCCCCCGCATCATGATCAGGTGTCAGGGCTTGCCGCGCCGCCTGCCGCCGGCCTGATCCAGCTGCGGAACCCTCATGTTGGGCGGCTGGGGCGCGGCGCGGCGCCCTGCTAGGATGTCCGCGAGGTGGTCGGCCACGAGCAGGCCGTGCTCGCGGGAGGCGGGCGTCATGTTGCCCGCCTGCTTGAGTACTCTGGCATGCTTCTCGTATCGGCGCACCGACGAGTCTGCGCGCCAACGGCCCCTCCTCTTGACCTCCTCCAAGGTTCTCTTGTGCCGAAGAGCATCATCCGAGGCTCCCCCGTGCCTGAGCATGTAGGGGTGGGGCCTCAGGTTCGACAGGTCGGCGAGCTCCGCGAGTCAATTGAAATTATTGGAGAAGGTCGGCGAGTCGAAGGACCACAGGCGCCGCGTCGCTGGTGACCGCTTGGACAGGCGAAAGAAGTCCTAGAGGGGGCCGAACTCCACGTCGTCGAGCAGCAGGCTCTCGTCGAACTCGTGGGTCTTCGAAGCCACCGAGAGCTCGGAGGGAGCCAGCAGCAGCGCCCACGAGGTGGCCCCCGTGCCCAGGAGAGGCGGGACCAGCTGGCCCACCGTCAGCGTCAATCACTCCGTCGGGCGCAAGTAGGTTCTGAACATCAGCTCCAGGCAATGCGCCATCTCCTGCCGGCCGAGGGACATCGCCGCGCCAGCCATCGCACAGAGCGCCAGCCAAGGAAATGGCGCGCGGCTCAGGCCTGGCGCCAGGCGGCGAAAGCCCCGCAGAGCGTTCTTTGCCCTGGGCAACAGCGTGCTGCCGGGTACCTTCAGCTCGGGAATACGAAACCGGGCACCTTCAGCTCGGGAGTGCGAAACTCCAGGCTCGCCACCACCTTCTCGCCCGCGTCGTGGTTGAACCCGTTGAAGTACAGATCCTCGAGGTGCTCCACGAGCGCAAGGTCGATCTCGAGTGGCGTCGACAGCGGCATCCCTGCCTGGTGGCCCACCTGCGGAAGTCGGAGAAGTACCGATCGCGCAGCGTCGCCGAGCTGCGCGCCACCCTGTTGACCTCCAGGAAGTAGGCCCCCAGATCCCTGCACAGGCTGGCCTGCGCTCGATGCACCTCGACGCGCCGTCGAGCGCGGGCGCGCCGCTGCTGGGCCGAGGGGGGCGTCAGGTCTGCCGCCCCCAGAGGCCGCTTGACTGGCAAGACGCCGGCCCTCGACCGCAGCGCTGGCCCTCTCGCCGACTGAGGAGCTGAGGAGCTGGAAGACCTGCGGGTGCCCGCTGCAGAATACCAGTCGTCGATGGCGTCGTCGGCGCCTGTGAGCTCGATCGGCGGAGGAGCGGCCCGCCAGCTGCCTGCGGCTGGCCCTCCAGCGCCACCGCGTCGAAACTCGTCGCGGGCGCGGGCCTCAACAGCAGCGAGCAGGGCGGTGTGCTGCGTGTCGGTGGAGCAGTCGTGCCAGCGAGCATCGCGTGGATCCCCGCTGCCGCTCCGCACTACTGGCCCCTTGAGCCTGGACGGCCCGTCGGCGGGATTGAACTCGCCGGGAGCCCAGCGACTGATGAACCCGGAATCTGCGGCCAGACTGAGTGCGCAGAGCTGTCGGAGGTGATGATTGATGCTGGCGTTCGTGGCTCTACTCTTTCCCTGGGCCAAGATAAACCCGAGATTGTCGCCAACGTTGACATGGAGATGATGAAAACTTTCAACTGAGCGCAGAGTGCGACGAGTGGCAATGACAGTAGCCGCCCCATCCGTCGACGTGATACCCTCAGCGCGGCGCCGCCTGCCCCTCGCACGTAGCTGCCAACTGCCGAAGCCGCCGATGACGTTGCGCTCCAAGTGACTGACTGAACGAGACGGGCAGCTCGACACTACCCTCGAGCGGTGCCTGGGAGGCACCCCCCGCCTGTGGGCCGGGCGACCCTGCGGTGGCCGGGGCGGCCGCAGCGGCCAACGCCGCCGCGCGCGCCTGCACTGCATCCGCCACGGCGAAGCGCCAGCGCTCCTGCTGCAGCCCCCAGGCGCGCGCCTGCTCCGAGCCCAGGAGCTCCCCCACGACCCCGAAGCCGCCGTTGTCGATCAGGTTGGCCCCCTCCGAGTCCGTCGCAGCAACGCACTCGCGCCAGGGCCGCTTGGCGTCGGCGTAGGCCAACGGGAGCAGCGGCACCATCCACTTGAGCTCACGCCGCACTGAGCACCAGAGCGGCACCCGCTCGGGGCCCGCCTTGTCCACGAAGCGGTAGCACGCGCGCGGCAGAGACAGCAGACGCCGTCGAAGGATGGCCGACCAGGTGTAGCGCCCCAGCAGGGTGTGCATCTCTGGACCGCTGGCGCGCCCCACCGCCAAGACGTGGGACAAAGCGAGCCTGACCTTCCAGCACCGCGCGTGGCCGACGGAGATTCGACCGGAGGCGCGGCGCAGGTCCAAGCCCGTGAAGCGCGCAACCTCGGGCCCGTGCTCGATGGTCTTGCAATCGAGCCCGTCGGCCTCCAGCTGCTTGAAGACGGCGTCGGCCGTGACAGTGGCCCGCTTCTCGTCGGTGCCGGTGACGATGGCGTTGTCCACATACACGGCGGCCGCCACCATTGCGTCGGTCAGATCGGGGGAGGGCCGCTTGCCCCTGAAGAACTGGCCGGCGGGGATGCCCACCTTCTGAACTGAGGCAACCACCATCTGCTGGCAGAAGTGCAGCGCCCACGACCATCCCATGGCCATGGCCTCGAGATGCGGGCTGAGCCAGTCGGCCCCCGCGACGTCGCACGCGGGGGCCAGCTGACGGATCAGCCGTCCTGACACACGAGGCAGCACAAAATGATCAGATACTCCAGGAGGCGCACGTATACGATAAAAGGCACACTCGACATCCATATGTGAAAAGACCAGCTCGTCCTCAGGCTGAAGCTCGATGCTTGCCCACGCACCAGGCGCGGGTAAGACTGCGTGCTCGGCCTCCTGGAATCTCGCATTCACCAGTCTCGTATCCAGAAGAATCACCCCCTGCATGCCATTCTTTTTTCTCGCGAAAAATATACCGACAGTGGCGGCCTGATGCGCCCGCAGTGAACATAGCCCAAGAGAGCACATGTCCGCGATCAGCTTAGCATACATCATATTATCTCTGATCAGGGTGGGGTCGGGATAGGGTTTCACAGGAAGTCCAGATGTGTCAGACAAGTCCTGGTCGCTCCGCATGAGCGCCTTGACGCAATTGTTCCAGTGGTAGAGGGGGCCCCCTGTCAGCACCTCATCACCATCGGCGACCCCGCCTCGAGAAGGCATTGAGATCAAGTCATACTGGAAAGCAACGCGGGGATCAGCGTCATCATATCCCGCTCGAGTGCCGCAAAGCTCTTTGAAGGCTTCCACGGCCGCGCAGGGTGGAGGAAGAACAGCTCGGAAGATGCGCGAGATATGCTCATGAGCTCCCCGCTGTGCGCGCGACAGCCCCAACGAAGACTCGACACGACCAACACCGCGCAAGTCATTGGTACTCTCCACTGCTGAATTCACGGCGGCCTGCCAGTGGGTCTTCACCTTCAGCCGCCTCTTCACAGAACGAGACAAAGAGCCAGACGTATCTGAATTGAACTGCGCAGCTTCGCAGAACGGCGCCATCGTCGGGAGGAGCTCCTTCGCGACTGGCGCGTGCCCTGAGAGCGCAGGCCGCGCGCGCAGGCCGGCCCACGAGGGCGTCGTGACTCAGGCGCGGCGGCAGGGCCCGCCGCAGCCTTCGACTCCTTCCCCTTCTGCTTCGCCTTGGCCTTCGGGATAGCAGGAGGCCCGCCCACCAGGCCGCGTAGCGGGTCGGCCGCACTGGTCAACGCTGCGGCGGCGGCCTGACTGGGCACCATGCTGGGAGAAGCGCGAGCCAGCTGCCGCTCCTCGCGGAGCTTGCGGCGCTCCTTGGCCGCAGTGCTCTCGCGGTGGAGGTTGGCGGCGACATACTCGTCTAGCGCTGGGCATAGCATGATCTGGCCCCTGGTCTCCCCCAGTCCGAGGTACAGAAACTCGTCATTGGCCAAGTCGTCCCCGAAATCATCTGGGCGCAGCAGCAGATGACGGTGCCTGAACTCTGCCAGCTGCGCCCTGCGCGTGAAGAGCTCAGCAAAGACCAGCTCGGGCGCATTCAGCTGGTCATACGTGAGCAGATACTCGAGACCCTTCATGGCGGTCTCGTGGTCTGAGACGCCGGGGTCCCCGCTCGTCAGTCGGCACGTATGCTTCCACCAAGTGTGCCTGGCCCTCGGGTGCCCGTTGGTCTGGGCGATGAACGTCAGGCACCACAGCACCGTACGAGGGCCAGTCAGCGGCCAACTGTCCCAGACACTCTCCGTGCAGCAGTCGATCGCGTCCTTGACGTCTTCGTGCTGCTTCCCCAGCTTGTCGCGGGAGATCTCCAGGATCCTGGCGTCGAGCTCGGGCGAAGCCGCGCCCGACGTGGCGACACAGTCCATCAGCACCAGTAGCTCCCCGCTGCGGCTCACCAGCGCGACACCAGCTATGCCGACAGTGGTGATGCGCCGCCAGGCTCCGGTCGCAGGCGGAAGAGCACCCTGGCCAAGAGACAGCGAGACACTCTGCACTAAGTCGAGGATGGCCTGCTCCGCCTGACTGCGCGGAGCCACCCCTGGGACGGCGGCCAGCACCAGAGAGGCGTCGTCGCCCTCACGAATTGTGCGATCCTCCAGACGACCCCGAAGACGACGTCGCGGTCCACCTCCCAAGGCTACCTCCGTCTGGCACGCGCGCAGCGCCTCGGCGAAGGCGGCGGGCGTTGGGAACGGCGAGAACGCGTACACCCGATTCAAGTGTGAGGTACGGCCGATCCCCGAACCCAGCACTAGGTCGCCGTCGGGAGTGGTCCCCATGAGCGACAACAAGGGATGCACCGACAGCTCCTCTGGGTAGACGTCGGAGTCTGGCGTCATGATCCAGTAGAAAGCGTCGGTGTCCGTGAAGGGATCCGCCTCCATCACTCGTTGATACACGTCCCGATGACAGCGACATACCACCACGCTGCGATGCCATAGGCGAGAATCGTCCGTAGACTTCACCATCACTTCCCGCCCTCCAAGAAGGAACGGCACGTCGAGAGTGGTAGCCATGGATACACCACTGCAGCACAAGGAGACCGACGGCGCCGATGAGCACACCGAACAGAAGACACACACCACAAATCTGATACGGCCCTCCGAGGTCTGAAGACTGGATGGAACAGGTCAGCGCCTGCTCTGCCAACGGACGCAACACAGGAGACGCCAGCGAAGCAACGCCTGCCACACCTGCGAGGATCCCCATTGATTTGTGGCGCCGCCAAAATTTCACTTGAGCCGCGGGAGCGGCGGCCGAGTGGGCAGAGGAAATGGGGTTCAAAGAACAAGTGATACATATATATATATATATATATATATACATATGTATCCGCCGGCCCCCTTGCGTGGCCTTCAGGCTGCGAAGAGTAGGCGTGCAGCTCCCTGTACCAGTTGCAGCTTCCAGTTTCCAGTTTAACAGTCCTGCTGTCTGCTTCCTTACTGTAAGTTGTTGCCGAACGCGCGAGGGGGGGGGAACCGAAAAACGTTCTGGATAGCGTCCCCGAATCGCGTTGTCTGAATTCCCGGGGGGTCGTGGGACACGTGAAAATACATGATGTACGCGTTCTCGAAGTCATAATCTCTATTAAATTACACCATGGTCGCGTCCCCTGGGCCAGACACCAGTGTAAACTATGCTGTGCTCGCGTCCCCGAAGCCAGAATCCGTTATACATTATATAATAATCGCGTCCACGAAGCCAAACAAATCAAAACATACTCCATATTCGCCATGAGCAATGGGAAATTACTGCATATTCGTGCCCCCGAAACCATGATCCATAGTAGATTGCGGAATAGTCGCGTACCCGAAGCCATAGATCCTCGCAGATTATATAATATTCGCGCCATCGAAACCATAAACCCTCAAACATCACCCAATGATCGCACCCCCGAAGCCATACACCCTGGTTAATTCTACCAGATTCGCGTCCCCAGGGCCATCGTCCCTAGGAAATTACAACATATTCGCGCCCCCGAAAACCATAATCCCGCGTAGAATACGGAATACTCGCCTTCGGGGCCATAAGTCCTTGTAAATTGCCTAATGCTCGCGCCACCGAAGTCATAAACCCTCGTAAAGCAATATTGCCCCTCGCGTGAAGTCCCGACATTACGTCATGTCAGCGCCCAGACATCCCAACACCGCTCTGGCAAGTCCCATTCTAAGCAAGGGGGGCCGGCGGCAGGGGGAGAAGCCCTTACGGTAATATATGAATATATAGGTGGACATATATATATATATATATATACATTCGTATATATAAATATAAATGTGACAGACTATGTACGCATATTGCTATATGATTCACGATTCTCCTCATTTCCAAGAAAGCATCATCACCACCACCATCACCATCATCATCATCATCATCAGCTGCAGCATCAGCATCATCATCATCATCATCAGCATCATCAACATCATGGACATCATCATCACAATCATAAACACCGACACCAGATTCATCGTCGTCATGAGTAATATCATCATCATCATCATCATCATCATCATCATCATCATCATCGTCACCAACACCAGCATGATCTTCATCATCACCATCATCAACATCCGCAACAACATCATCATCATCATCAGCATCATCATCATCAACATCATCATTTTCTTGATCATCATCACCATCATCATCATCGTCATTGACATCATCATCATCAAATCCATAATCGTAATCATCGTCATCATTATCGTCATCAACATCCTCACCACCATCATCCTCATCATCATAACAGTCGAGATTACCAACACCACCACAATCATCATCATCATCCTCATCCTCGTCATCACCATCATCATCAGCAGCATCATCATCGTCATCAACATCGACCCCGTTAGCCCCACCATCGTCATCGTCGCCATCTTTATCATTACCAGCATCCCCACCAGCACCGCCACCGCCATCATCAACATTACCGCCACCGTCACCTTCACCATCTCTGCCACCGTGCCATCCTTGTCACATCGCCGCCACCGTCAGCCGCCCGTTGGGGTCCGCCCGACCCGCTCGCTGGCCCGTTGGGGTTCGCCCGCCCGCCTGTTGGTTAGGCCATTTTAAAAACGACTGCAAGACGAGGAGGCCAGCAATCCAATGCTTTGATGTTTCAACACGGGTGCCCAAGAAGTCCCAGGTCGGCTCTGCGTCCCGAGTCGTCTTTCCCTGGTCCATGGGCCCGGCGAGGACCCCTGGAGGCCAACAACAACGAAACACATCCGTCCTGATTTCGGCAATACGATGGACATCTAGGCTCGGATCCGCCACCGTGCCTCTGGGCACGGAGAGGGCGTGGCCAACGGGCGGAGGAGGAGGAGGAGGAGGGGCAGGAGGAGGAGCAGGAGGAGGAGAAGGAGGAGCAGGAGGGCACTGCCCCCTGAGCCTCAGTCCTCGCTCCGGAGGGGCCTCTCTAAAAGGCCGGGAGCCCAGATTCTCAAATCCGCCGGGCCTTGCCGCGTGCCCCCTGGGGTTCCTGGCATCTTGCCGCATGACCTTTTCGGAGCGAAGAGGGCCCCAAGGCGGCCCCAGACCAGAGGGCTTCAAGAGGCGGCCGAGACTGGCCAAGAGGGCCTCGAGACGCCCAGCAGTCGCTCCAAAACGCCCACGCTGGGCACAAGACGGTCCAAACGCCCCTAAAGCACCCCAAGACGCATCCAAGGGGGCTCCCGAGAAAGCCCCAAGAGCCCAAAATCATTGATTTTCCTTAGGCTTCGAAAAGATGTTGGCATTCTCGTTTTTTCGGCCTCCCGACGCTCCAAGACGTCCGAAGTGGCCCCGAATACCGCCCCAAGTCGACCCAAGAGTCCCCCAAGAGGGCCCCAAGACGGCTCAAGACGGCCCCAAGATGGCCCACGAGGCGCGCAAGCCGGTTCAAGAACGCTTCAAGACCGCCCCAAGAGGGCCCAAGTCGGGGACCACGAACCGAAAATTCTATATTTGTGGCCCCAAGGAGGTCCAAGAGGGCCTCGAGATGCCCAACCATCGCTCCAAGACGCCCAAGATGGGCCAATACAGGCCAAGAGGCCCCCACGACACCCCAAGAGGCGTCCAAGTGGGCTCCTCAAATAGCCCCAAGACGCCCAAAACATTGATTGTCAACCGGCTGGCTCCTCGAGGACTTTGACATTCTCGCCTTTTCGGCTTCCGACGCTCCAAGACGCCGCTCGGCGAACGCCCTGACAAACCACTTACTAAGCGGACACTTCTGAGCCAAATCACGACGTGCAACTTTAAAAGGTATGAGAATTGCAACATTGACGCCGCATCCCTCGGCACTGGCACGTGGTCCGTGAGCTTGCATTCCTCAGCCGCAGCGCTGCATCCCCCAATACGCCGACAGCGCGCGCTTGCCAACCACGCGGCAGCGGCGCAGCCCAAAAGCTACCACATTGGTATCTGAGGACGGCTCTGCACCCCCAAGACGCCCCAAGGCGCCTCCAAGAGGCCCAAAAGATGCCACGAGACGCCCCTATACAGACGCCAAGAGGCCACCCCACTGCCCGCACGCAAACCCCGAACAGCCCCCCCAGAGTCTCCAACGACCATTCAATAACCCGCATGCCGCATGCCCATAACCCAGGCACGGTGGCGGCATGGGTCGAAGGCCAATCGATCCGCCGCCCCCTGTCGATTCATCGAAGGGGTGCCTGGCGTGCTGGACCCTCTCGGTTTGGGATATCAAAACCTGGTTGCAAAGGTTTTCCCTGCTCCAGATGGCTCCAAGACGGCCCAAGATGATCTCCAAGATGCATCCAAGACGGCCAAGATGGCCTCCAAGACGGCGAAGATGGCCCCAAAATGCCTCCAAGACGGCCCAAGATGCACTCAAGACGGCCTAAGATGGCATCAAGATGGCCCAAAACGCCCCCAGAGGCTCCCAAGAGGACTCCAAGACGGCCCAAGAGGCCTCGAAGAGGTCCTCCAGAAGGCCCGAAGAGGCGAAAATCATTGAGGGTCCTTAGGTTTTGACGGATTTTGGCATTTGCGCCTTTTCGGCTTTCCGACTACCCAAGACGGCCCAAAAGGCCCCCAAGGTCGCCCCAAGATCGCCCAAGAGGCCTCCAAGAGATCCCCATGACGGCCTCAAGACGGCCCCAAGATGGCCCCAAGACGGGCCAAGAGGCCTTTAAGACGCCCAAGATGGCCTCTAAGACGGCCCCGAAGCGCCCCAAGAGGGCCCTGAGAGGGCCCAGAGAGGCCCCCGAGACGGCTCCCGACGGCGTCAGACGTGCCAGGAACCCACCAAGATTGCCGAAGTTGGCTCGAAGCTGGCCCAAGACGGCCCAAGAGGCCTCCAAGAGGCCTCCAGGAAGGCCAGAAAGGACGCCAAAAACATTGACGGTCCTTAGGTTTTTGAAGGATTTTGACATTTGCTTCTTTTCGGCCTTCCGACGGCCCGAGACGGCCCACGAGCCCCCGAAGATTGCCCAAAGATCGCCCAAGAGGCCTCCAAGATGGCCCCAGAACGGCCCGAGAGGGCCCCAAGACGGCCCCAAGAGGCCCCCAAGACGGCACAGGAGGCATTTAAGACGCCCAAGATGGCCTCCAAGACGGCCCTGGAGCATTCCAAGGGGGCCCCAAGTCGGCCCAGAGAGACCCTCCAAACGGCTTCCGACAGCGTCAGACGGACCAGGAACCCACCAAGACGGCCGAAGATGGTCTTAAGATGGCCCGAGACGGCCCAAGAGGCCTCCAAGAGGGCCTCCAGGAAGGCCCGAAAAGGCCAAAATCATTGATTTCCCATTGGTTTTTGAAGGATTGTTGCATTTGGTGTTTTTCTGCCTTCCGACGGCCCGAGACGGCCCAAGTGCCCCCAAAGATCACCCAAGACGGCCCCAAGAGGCCCCCAAGACGGCCCAAGAGGCCTCCAAAACGCTCAAGATGGCCTCCCAGACGGCCCAAGAGCCCTCCAAGACGTCCTCGTAGAAGGCCCGAAAGGGTCCAAATGGCCTCCAGACGGCCCAGATGACCTTCAAGATGCCTACGTGCTCCCCGAAGGCTTTCCAAA